GGGCGAGTCTGGACAGTTTGAAGGAGGAAAAATTATTTAGCCCAAATTTTGAGTTGATTGAATTGAAAAACTATCCTTTGACATTAAACTGTATCGAAGTAATACAGTTATTGCAGTCAGCTGGCTACAAACTGGAATTCAATACTAGACTCAAGATGCTCAAATGCTGGATGAGAGTACGCGGGACCGATACTGAACATATAATTCCCTTAGACAGCTCAACCGATTTTGAAGAATACAGCATAATTGTGGATCATATCTATATACATGAAAGATTTGGTTTCTTTTTTAATCAAGAAGGTATCGATTATTTACGAGAACAAAAGATAACATCGAAATCAAGAGTTCCTCTAGATAAGATCGACTATGAACCTTCGTCATGGCTGATCGATATATGGGAGGAAGACATTGAAAAGTTAGATAAAATAAAGCTAAATAACGATATTTCGCTTTATAAAATTTGCCAAATGAGTTACGACAAGGCTTACTCAATTTTGAAAAAAACGAAGAGTTGGCACTTAACGCCATTTCAAAGCCTAAATCATAGTTCTATGAATCTATTGGTAAAAAGACACGTCGCAAATATTTTAATAAGACAACATTTGGAATTGTTCGCAGCTGATCTTTTTATGACTAACTATTGTAAATTGAACCTGCCGTACACCGCATGCCGAATTATTGCAGAATATACGAGTTACGAAGATCTATATCGTCTATGTGAGCGAACAGACGAAGAGAATCTATGATTATATCTTTAATAAATGTAATTATTTTTTTAATTAAATATTTTGTAATATTATCCTGTATGAAAAAAATAGTTTTGTGTAAACGGGCCTGAATTATCGTAAATAAAATTTAAAAAAAAATAATTTCAGTGCCCCATATTATCAATTGGAGTAAAAATGATTCCTATCTCGAGAATTCGCTGCCGTTGCAATGTTCCATTTGGTATATGACTGCTTCTGCTGCAGCTTCTGCAATAAAATCTTCAATTAAAAATGTTCCCTCGTAGCCATGCATCTCGTTTTTCTCCTTCTCTCACTATCTCTCGTCGATGTATACGCCCGGTGCACGAGATTTGGCGCTGCCATAGTTTTTAGCACGCTTTCTTATGGGAAAAGGCCTGCAATAGGCCACGGAAGGAAGCGATTGTCGGTGGCCGAGCAGTGCGTGAGTCCATTGCGCTTCTGACCTCTTTTGTTGTACCGCTTCGTTTCAGGACTGTACATGACAGCTCGTTGTAGACACTCTCGCGGTTTGTCCGAAGCATCGCCGGCATCGACGTATGTAATTTGCTTTCTCGTAAGCTGCCGTCTCTCTCTTTCTCTCTTATTTTACTTCTATATAGCTCTCGACCTTTCGTTCGGCTCCGAGTCCGTAAATTAAATATATCAAATCAATGATCTTACATGTGCGTTTGTGGCATCTCTTATGTATCGAGTTACAGCCGCGGCTCGATCGAATTAGTCGTGACGCACGAGTTTCCGCAAATGGTTCCAAGACAGCCACGAACAGCTTGAAAATTCCCTTATTCTATTTTATTCAAAAATTTTCGAGCATTTTTTTTGGCAACTATAGCACGCGCGTTCGAACTAGTCACCGATTTGTTGATTAATCGTTATATAATAAAGTACCGTTATACATTTGCAATAAAAATGCAAATGCAGTTTGTATTATCATAAGTTTTTAAAAGAGTGTATAATGCATAATGCATTTGATAAATCAGCTAAGTGCTACCGGTGACATGATTGATTAAAGGCGAAACTACTTTTCTCGTGGATTTTTATCAATCATCCCGTATGCATATCTGATCCACTTAAAATTTCGATTAAATGAATTTTGTCCGAGCAATCTCATATTTCTCTTTCGGTATAAGATACATAAGATTGACGAAACAGCAGAGCGAGTATAAAAAGACGCATCGAGTCTCTCTCGTTCAATGGATGTAAATAAAGCGATACATTTTAAAATCATAAACCTTTTATAAGAGAGAGAGAGAGAATCGAAAGTATAACGGCGGCAAAATATATGTATAGGTAGATGGGTAATTTCAAAGCCGCAGCCGCAAAGTAAGGTAAAACGAGAGGCGAGCGCGCGCCTGTACTTCTTTTTTCACGCAGGCACGCGAGTCTTCTTATATATGCTTGCAACAATACGAGTTGTACGCGCCGCACATCGACGACGATTATAAGCTGTTTACATGTGTATCGATGGCTATCGCGGCTGCAGCTTCTTTTCTTCTATAAAGCTATACAAATTGTGTCTTACTTCCTTCACGAGATCGTTATCGACTGCACCCGCAGCAGCTGAGCAGTAACCTTTGTAGCCGAGCGGATAATAACGCGTTTATTATACACTTTATCCGCTGATTTCGTTTCTCGAGCTTTTGTGCATCGCGAGCCGAGAAACTCGCTATTGTTACACAGTTGCAGTTACGCGGTTATACGCGTGGCAAGCAGAAATTTACGCGCGATTGACCGATTTTAGCCGCTTTTTATCCGTCAACAAAAACGGGCCTCGCTCTTGCAATCATTTCGAAAGTTGATCCATCGAAGAAGCTACTTACCGTTGAAGAATCTCGATAGTTACTTTATATATGAATTCATTAATCGAGATTTCTTTTCCTTATTCTACGCAGTATTTGATTCAATTTTAACGCAACAACAGCAATCAATGAAATGCAAAAATAAATTTTACTCTAGTTGAACTTTTCTTATCATTCAGCTGAATTTCATTGAAGATCTTTTCCAAGTTCAATTTTTCAAAGAGAAATAGTGGAGCGTTAATATCGTATTTACGTGACAACAGAATTTAACCGCAATTCAAAAATTATTATTACTTAGAGTTATAGCGACGGTTATAATGTGATCTTCTTTAATTAAACTTCAATCAGATTGTTTACCAAATTTGTGGCTCTCGCAAATTCCGTATTAACTGGGTTAAAATTATGCATTAATTGAATATTTTATAATATAGGTTTTATGTAAATTTCATCGATACTTTTTCAACACCTTATTATTGATGGTTTCATTTTGTTTTCACCAAAACTGTCATGTTCAGTCAAATCGCAGATTGAACATAAATTATAAACTCGTGTCCAAGTTTTATGAAAATTTTGCGTTAATGCTTACTTTTCATAATTAATCATAATAAAACATTTTTTGAATGGTGGAAAAAAATTTTGGTCGACAGCTTGGGTATGATTCGCAACAAAGTTGGCATTAAATTTGGTAAAATAGAAGAATTTAATCAATTTTGTAAGTCAATTTATAAAAAAAAAAGTTTAAAAACTAATGCTACATCTACTGGATGGATTGAATTAGAAAATATATATAATGACTACACAGGAACAGTCTATTTAAATAGCATTAATATGTATTATTCTGTAGTGTAAAGAAGAAGAGATTATACAACCGAGACTGACTGTTTCAAGCTCTAGTATGTAATGTACGGATCCGTCGGATCAAAAGTTAAAAATGAAATTGGCATTATGAAGTTAATAAAAGCAGTTGAGATCGTTGCGGGCGCTGACAAAAATTAAGGAATGCGCATAGGTATAATATGCAAGGCTCGGTGAACTTGGCAACGATTCTGTGTGTACGTGAATTATATGATGATCGGGTGTATCAAGTGACGCGTGAAATTCTTTGCTTAGCGAGCGAAAGCCCGACGGTATGTGTAGCTATATGTATACTGCACAGGGAGATAGAATAAGCGCCCAGGCACGTTGATCTTTTGTCTCTCTGGCTCGGCGCAGGGCTGAAAACTCACGACTCCCATTTCTGTCCGCTTATTATTTCCGTTTTCTTGCCGGGGCAATTCTTATCCTCGCGTCCTTTATTACTTCCGACATGGATGCAGTGCAGCTGCGTAATATTTTAAAATTTTCTTCCTGCCATCGCGACTCGAGAGCTTCGATGAAATTGCGCGAACGATCGAATTTATATAGCAGAGGCGCGCGAGAGTAATTGATCGATCTGCTGGAGAAAAATGCGTTTTAATAATTTTAATAAGTACTTAAGTATAATTGGCCCAAGCCTATGAGTTTTACAACGAAAGACGTCGAATTTATGTTATATATTTTGCTCGCTTGACTTGATCTGTCGCAATATTTTTGCAGCATCGTCGTGTATATAGTTTTAACGAGCCACGACCGAACGGTTATGGGATTTATTGGCCTTTGCCACGTATAATACATGAACAAATTTATACGTAATATTACTTCGACTTAATATGGCTCTCATTGTGAGCTATGAGTAAGCCGAGGGACATTATTAAGGGCTAATGGGCTGCCAAGCGGGTGTGTAAAACGATATCTACTCATTTGCATGGGACGTTGGTGTAACGAAGTTGAAGCTCGTCGCGCGGCGAGTTGATCAGCTCTCCGACATAATCCATCGACACTTGGCCGCATACACGTAAACAAGGATATACAAGGATCGTTATTATTTATCAGCCTGTGTGCTACTCAACTCGACTGCAGCTTAGACAATTTCGAGGGCCGATCTCGCTGCATCGGGAGCAGCGAAGATCGAGCGCTGCTGCTGTACGTGCCATGCGAATTATCGCGTGCGCGGCGGCAGTCGAGGATAATTCGAGTCCTGGTCCGAGGCATCCAGCCACTCATAGGGATCCTGCGGCTGCTGCTGTGGCGCATATGTCTCTCTCTCTCTCTGTACGATATAGTACTATAACTAGTAAAACGTGTATATGTAGGTGAAGCTCGGTCCATGTATAGAGAGAGTAGACGTCGAGGCGAGTGAGCACCACTGGGCGCGCCATGTTGGGCCGGGGATTGGCCGCCTCGGGCTGCCTCCTGTAAGCTCGTCCACGGGCATTGGCGGGCCACGCCTCCCCGCGGCGAGCTCGGCTCGGCAGCTCGGGGGACGGCCCCTCCACGAGACGCTCCGTCTCTGTCTGGCTCGTTGGGCTCGCTAGTCGCTCACGGGCCGCCGCCGCGCAAACGTACACATTTTACCTGCAACACAGGACAGCGAGCGAGCGCTTGGCAAAAGTTGGCTCGGTGCAGACTGCCGGGCGCTATTGCTCGCTTATCCAGCCGCGGGGGTGGTTGTGTGCTCCACCGCTGCTATTAGCTCTCCCTTGTGCACTTTGCAGCGAGCGGCTTACATATAGTACTTGCTTGTTCCAGAGACAAAGTGTGCCGTAATTTTCTCTCCTCTCTCTTCTCTCTTCTTTCTCTATACCTATCTGTACTTTTGTGTATTTATATTTTGCGACGTCTGACCAGCAGTGTTTACGTATCGCGCGTGTTTATACTTTCAGTGTTTTCCGACCTTTGCAGAAAAATAAATTTGCAAATGCGACTCGCGCAGCAGTGAGTAATTTTATAGTTGCCACGCGCACAATTGCAGCCAAAAGTGTCGTTGATCGCAAGTAATCGCTTGCATCGTCGTCATGCAGAGAGTTTCGTTGCGCGAGTCCCAGCTCGGCCCTTAAAACATTGTTGGAGCTCGTCGAGTGCCACGCAAATTGTACCGAAGATATTTGTCGTAACGAGTGCGCGAGTCGTGCCGAGCAGTGTGCCGAGTAATAATTAAAAATTAAGCAAGAATATTCGCGTAAAAAAGAAAGAGCTCGGCAAGTGTGATAATCGAAAGGAGAGAGGCATGATATCGGTGGCCACGACGACGAGCCTGCAGCAGCAGCAGCCTCAACCACAGTCGCAGGAACCGCCGCCACCACCTCCACCGCCGCCGCCACCGCCTCCGCAGAGCATGGACTCGACTACGCAGTTGATCGACTGCAGCAGCACGGCCAGCGACAGGCCCTGCAGCAAGACCACCGACGTCAAGCCCCAGGGCCTCAAGTCCCTAAGAGGTTAGCACCATCGCGATTTATATCTCCCCGCGAATCCCTTCGATGATTCCTCGATCGATCGTCATCCCTCGATTTCGCTTGTCTTAGGCTCGCAGTCGTACAACAGCACACCGCGACACAGTATCGACGCGATTCTGGGACTGGCGGCCGATGCAGCGGCGGCTGCTGCGGCCCATCATCACCAGCAGCAACAGCAGCAGTTGCATCAACAGCAGCAGCAGCAGCAGCAGCAACAACAGCAACAGCAACAACAGCACCAACAGCAGCAACACAGTCAAGTTTCCGAGAGCAGAAAGCGAAAGAGTTATCCCGACATGGACGAACAAAGTCAGCAGAGCTGCAAAGAGTCGCAGGATAATACCGGTAAGTAGCTATATGCGATACGATAGTTATTACGAGTGCGGTCATTACTGCAGTGCGCACATACAAGCACGTGCGCTGACGGAAAAAACAACGCAATACAAACATAGAGGGAGAGACGGGCTTTCCGCTATTATTACGCGAGCTGTATAGAGGAGCTATTTAGATAAGCCACGATGTGCAGCATGTTTATGTACTACTACTACTAAGCTGTGCGTTATGCGCGTTGCACGACCATCGTCGCGAGTAAAAGGTTAAAGCGCACATTATGCAGGCGGCTATAAGTGAAAAGTGTCGTGTCGTGCATAATGCAGTTATCAAGCTCGCTCAAGTAGTAGCTCGGCAAATTCTCTGGGTGTGTGTGTGTGTGTGTGTATGGTAAAAGGGAAGCGAGCGAGAATCGGCTTTTTCGTCCTTATCGACGCGGCTCTCTCTCTCTCTCTCTCCGGTGCGAGTCGCGCCAGGGACTTTTGACATTAGTTATCGTCGCGGACTCGGGCGGACTCGGACACTCGTGTTGTTTTTGCGCTGCTGCTCGCGAAGGGGGAGTGCACCGATGTCTGCGTGTGCGTGCACTTATCCTCCCGGCAATGGAACGATGCCGTTAAACATTTTGCCGTGTGTGTATACTCGAGAGTAAATGCAGTTCATAGAGAGACACCTTCGAACAATTATTGTACTACTTGGAATTGGTTTATTACGAGCGTAAGATAGCTGTCGAGGCGGCTTAATCAAACGCCACGACGCGAGAGAGAAAGAAAGAGAGAAAAAAGTTGGCAGCGCCAAATATCTTATCGGCCGCGGCTCCGACATTCCTCTCTATACATTTTGGCCAATTTGTGTCGAAGCTTGTTTCGTTCTCTCGCTCTTCTCTCTTTCCTCGCAGCGGAGGCAGCTGCTGAATTTCTCAAACTGCTCCGAAATGCAAAGTCTTTTCTATTTATAGCTGTTATTATTGACGGCAATGCACAATATATAATAGATAGATCATAGGAAGTACAGCGCAATCGTAGTTTTAGACTCTCCTGTATGGTAAAGTAAAGAAATGAGCGAGCGATATAGCATATTATATTGTATACGCGTAGCCGACGGACGAAATTACCTTCTCTCTTGCTCACCTTGACGACGTGCCATCGCCACTATACGGCTCCGCGCATATTATATACGCCGCTGTTGCTGCTGTACGTTATAGTCATATACTCATATACGCGCGGATAGGAGACGCGCGACGAATTATCGCGCCGAGAGAAAGAGAGAGAGAAGAAGTGCGTTGCATATATATGCAGCAGCCACACGCCTGCTTGTATACTTTGCTTGGCTCGCGCGCGCGCGCGCGCCTACACACGAACAAACACATACACGTATATATATATGTACATTGATTTAATCCGCAGTCTTGTAAGCTAATGGGCCGCCGCCGCATGCGTCGTCGCGGGCTTCTGATGCAGCGCTCGGGCAAAAAACGGCCAAATAAAAGCGAAAATGAGAAACAACATTGATATACGCACGCGCCACGCAGCTATATGTATGCATGCAGAGGCATTCGGGTTTCTCTCTCTCTCTCTCTCTCTCTCTCTCGTCCAGTGTGACTTATCTTTTCACTCAAGCGGGTCCGTGTATGCGTGTGTGTGTGTATGTGTTTGTTGTCAGGCCACAGCGACGACGACGACGACCACAAGTCAGCAGCAGCACACAGAAAAAGCCTCTGGCTTTTAACGTTTTAATGTTTCAATCGATTATAATATACGCACGGGCTCGTATAAATAATAATTTAATTGATCGCCCCCCGAGATTCGTCGAGAGAGAGAACGAGAGAGATTTTATACAGCGACCTTTCTGCCTTCTACCTCTGCATATTTTCGTCGCCTGTATATGCACTTTGTGCGTCGATCCAATCATCGACGCTCCTTTCATTTCCGTTTTATCGATTGCCTCCTTCTACCGTATACGCATTACGCACTTTTGTGCTCTCTCTTCGCTCTCTTTGTTTCGTATCAACTTCTTTTTTGTTGTTGTTGTTACTGTTGTTGCAACGGCTCGTTGAAAAATAAGCACGAGTACACGTGCCTGCCTATGCGTGTGCACTGGTGTGCATTGCGTTGCGTTGAACTGTGCGCGTACATATACGCTCGGCGTGTAATTGGAAAATCGTTGCTATCGCCAGCTGATCTCTCTGTGCTCTGTATGTGTGTGTAGGTGTGTGTGTGTGTGTGTGGGTGGGTACACACATGCAGTTGTACGCACGCCATAGTCTACTCAGGCGTTTAGCCTAGCCGATCGTCGCCGCCGACTTGCACAGTGCACAGCAACACTGCACACATACGGCTTTGGCCGCGCGAATCAAGCTCGTCGACTGCCTACACCTATACATTTGCTCCCCGGACGCAATAAACGTCGGATCAATTAAGATCGCCGACGGATAGTTGGCCGGCGATTAAATACATATTCAATTGCTTCGCTCGTATATATATATATATATATATATATATATACCTGCACACACATGTGAATACACACATGTATACAGACGTCAACGCTCGGGCACGTGTATACCTGCCTCGGTATATGTACAATACAGGTATAGGCACGGTGAAAGCACATTATGTACGATTTACGCGAGAGCTTGTTTACGAGCCGGTCCGAGCGTTTTTATTCTTACATTTTTTTCTTATTTTTTCCTTTTCGATGATGAATTTCGAAAATAAGCCAGCTAAGCGGCTACTGTGCCAATATCCGCGAGTGAATATTTATGATCGAGGAGCGAAATGAAAAGCAGCAGCAGTTCTGTGGTCAATGCCGTACGCGAATACATAAACACACATAATATACACACACGCGTGCGGCCAGTTTAATGATTTAATGGATCAATTAGCGCGCGCAAGTACTTACGCCTCGGTATTAGCGCGCGACCAGCTCGAGGCTATCCTATATACAAAGATTGCTCATTATGATGTACGCGTGTATATAGCTGCTGCGCGACAAAAAAAAAATACCGATCGATCGCCCAAATGTGTCGTTTACTGCTCCGAATTCCGATCATTGCGAGGAAAAATACCAAATAAGTGTACACAAATTTATAGCACGATACAGAGACGGAATTCCGAGTTGCATATTATATAAGCTACACGAGCATTAATCATAATCGCGCCCAACTCCGATGTCTTATTGGCTCTCCAGTAATTTTCTCCAATTACACTACGATGATAATTACGCCATTATCCACGCCAAATCAATTAACGAACGTTTATTCATCCTCTACTCTTATGCGTGTATATTATTGACGTTAACTCGCAGCCGATCGGAAAAACGCAACAATTGTACAACGAGCTTGGCAAGCTAATGGAATTATGCCTCTTCGAGATGAATATTTTGCCGTAATATTTTTGAACGAACGCGTCATGCCTCGATATATTTTTTATGTTGTGTCACTGCACGCGGGCTTATAATTGCTCGGATTCGGTCGCAACTCTCGTCTTGGCGCGCGTACGTCAAAATTTTCTACATATACCGGTTGGATTTGGAGGGATTACGCGCGGACTTGGATTCGACACATTTCATTTCGATCAATTTGATCCGGAAACAGCAGCCAGCTAAAGAATCGCCACTCGGGATCGCGCGCATACCGATCCTCTTCTTCTCCTTCTGTACTTATTCTTCTTCGTTCATCTTCGTCGTTGTCGGTCGCTGGACTCGCTCGACTCCCATATAACGCCTAAAGTAACTATTAACATCTCACAGGTCTGACGTCATAAATTTTTATCGATTCGCGCGTGACTCTGCGCTGCTGCTGCTGCGAGTGCGCGCGCTGCTACTCAGCCCGAGCGCCTAGGAGCTTTCGAAGGATCGAGCAGCAGAGGAGGAACAGGGAAAAAAGCGCACCGCCGCAGCTGCGCACTTTTGGCCGCAACTACGTCGACTCCGTTCGGCCAATGTAGTCGACGATAACAATAATCCCTTACGGTGTCGATTGGCTAGTTGAGTTTTTATTCGAGATCGAGTTTACGAATTAGACGTCGCGTACGCGAAGGAATCCGAATTGGCCGTGTGCAGTTATTCCGGCTATGCATGTCATTGCCGGTCGGATCAGCTCGATATCGAGTGGGGATGATGGCGGTGGTGGTGGGCCGCGTGAGACGTTGCTCGAGAGGAGGAGGAGGAGGGAGCTGTGTCTGAACGCGGGGGTGGCTGCGCAGAGATCACAACACTGTAGACAACTCGAGGTACACGAACAAAGTCGGCAAAATAATTTCTAAACTAGCTGCTCCGTCGACGTTTCGGAGCTTCGGCGCCGAGCGAGCTTTAGCTTAATTAATTCTAATGTGTCTCTTGTGCGGGATATGAGATTTAGTTGCTGCTGTTTGTTGTCAAAGAGGCGACTCTCGTGCGAATATACGTATATAGCTCGAGACTCGAGCGTTTGGAATTACGCGCGCCGCTGTGTATTAAGTACGGTATATATGCAAGCTCTTTAACCCAGCAGCAGCGGTGCGCGCAAAGTTATGTAGTAGTAGTAGTAGTAGTGCAACTCGCTGCAACTCGCCGACGAGTCTGCAAACTACAAATTTCCAGCATTAATTGCATTTATATAGGCGCGCCAGTTGAGCCTAGTATAGTCACATGGACACACACACATAGGTGCTATATAATATTGTAAATTGCATAATCTCGATGCAGCAGCAGCTATGGCGCTCGTGTCAGCGAGGATTATTAAAGCCGCACATATATACGCGCTCCTATCGCAAATGAAATCATTTCTCATTTGCCTGCAGTTAGCCTCGTTATACACGTAGCTATGCACACACAAGAGCAACGAGCTTCGACGCTACACATTATATGTGTACACGATTATGGATCGGCGAAAAAAACGCCATTGGAAATTAACGAGCGGCTCGCTTTCTCTAATGAACGCGACGCTGAGCAATTACCCTCGCAGCAGCAACAACAACGGCTAAGAACGTAGGTACGTCGAGTTCTCTGTCACCGGCAGCAGCCTTCCCCTCCGC